CTCACACAATCTTCACTACCGATTAATAAACTAACTTGTCTATATATTACTTCGTTCTGAAATCTTATTCGTATTAGCATTAGAATTTTATCATCATTATACTTATTACTCTCCACATTGCAACTAACTGATCTCCGGTCAGGTAATGTGATGGCTGCTGGTATCCAGAAACCCTACTGCCCTGAAACGAACGTTTTCACTCAAACCCAGAGACACAGAGACTCACAATCAACTGACTAGAACTAGACAGTCTAGTGGCTAGACCCCTATTGATTGGAAACTACCGAACACCTGGAATTGTACCGAAAGAATCGAGCGCAAAAAAATCAATCGGCTTATAGTAGCTCGTGAAATCGAATAAATCAGCGCGGTCATCAAACAAATCAAGAGCGGCAAAGCAGCACAATCAATCAACATGCCTGCTGATGCATTGAAAGCGGACGTAGAAGACACTGAGAAAATGCTTCACGATCTCTTCAGCAAGATTTGGGAGTGGGAACAAGTACCAACAGACTGGAAGGAACGATACCTCATGAAGATAAAAAATGAAACATCTCAGCAAGTGTGAGAACTACATATATAACGTTCTGCTCTCAATATCAGGAAACATTCTCAACAGAATGTTGTTGAACCGAATGAAAGATTCAGTAGATAACCAACTTCCACATCAACAGGCTGGACTCCGTAAGGATCGATCGCGTACTGAACAAATCAAGACGTTACGGATCATTGTGGAACAATCAATTAAATAGGACTCACCACTGTACATCGACTTCATTGACTACGAGAAAGCATTTGACACAGTAGATATGATAACACTTTGGAGGCTTATTCGACACTATGGTGTACCTGAGAAAACAGTCAGTCATACGGAGTTTCTATGGTGGGCTACACTGCGAAACCGTGCATGGAGGGAATCTCACAGACTCATTTCAATTGAAGACCGCTGTCAGACAAGGTTCTTACTTTGTTCAAGAAAGTTTACACTTTTTATCTCAAAACTAATTAAACAAGCACTCTTCCAATACAGAGCTCAGTGCTCATGTAAACCAGAAATATCACAGGATGAAGAAATCTGCAAATCCTTTGCCTGCTGAATCTGTAATTGAACAGTCACACCTTTACCTTGTGAACCTCTTATTCACAAATTTCATTATCACCAGAATATACTCCTCGTTGTCATTCTCCTAGCTCGTCGTCCGATACACGATTGGTTGATCCAAAAGTTTTATAACAGAGTATACTGATATGCCAACGCATAGAGCATGTTACTAGTTATCATGAAGGAAATATACAACAATTACAAGAATCACTTGCCTCAAATAATATGAAACGTAACCAGTTAGCACCCTTTGCGCACATATGAGCCTCGATTAGGAATAAAATCTCTGGGAACATCTTGAGGTTCGTAGCTGAAGAATTTACTTACTTACTTACTTACTTACTTACGCCTGTTACCCCCAATGGAACATAGGACACCTACCAGTTTTCTCCAACCAACTCTGTCCTGGGCTTCCCTCTCCAGTTCTGTCCAATGTTTGTTCATTCCTCTCATATCTTTCTCTATTTCTCGGCGTAGTGTGTTCCTTGGCCTTCCTCTTTTTCTTTTGCCTTGAGGGTTCCATGTGAGGGCTTGTCTTGTGACGCAGTTCGGTGCTTTTCGTAATGTGTGTCCTATCCACTTCCACCGCTTCTTCCTGATTTCCTCTTCCACTGGAATCTGATTTGTTCTCTCCCACAGTACGTTGTTGCTGATGGTGTCTGGCCAACGAATCCGAAGTATTTTACATAGACAACTGTTCATAAACACTTGTATCTTATGGATGATGGCTTTCATAGTTCGCCAAGTTTCCGCTCCATACAGTAGAACTGTGTTCACATTTATTTTGAAAATCCTTATTTTGGTTTTGGTTGAAAGTTGTTTGGATTTCCAGATATTTTTCAACTGTAGAAATGCAGTCCTTGCTTTGCCAATCCGCGCCCTCACGTCTGCATCGGATCCACCTTTCTCGTCTATGATGCTGCCCAGATATGTAAAGGCTTTAACGTCATCTAAGGTATCTCCGTCAAGTGTGATTTGGTTGGTGCATGTTGTGTTGCATCGGAGAATTTCGCTTTTTCCTTTATGTATGTTGAGACCTACTGCTGCAGAGGCTGCTGCTACACTGGTCGTCTTCTCTTGCATTTGTCGTTGAGTGTGCGATAGAAGAGCCAGGTCATCTGCGAAGTCCAGATCGTCCAGCTGCGTCCTAACTGTCCAGTTGATACCGTGCTTCCCTTCAGATGTTGACGTCTTCATAATCCAGTCGATGACCAGGAGAAAGAGAAAGGGTGAGAGTAAGCAACCTTGCCTGACACCGGTCTTCACCTCGAAAAGAGTCTGTCAGCTGACCTCCGTGTACGATTTTGCAGTTGAATCCATCATAAGAATTCCGTATGATGTTGACTATTTTCTCAGGCACACCGTAGTGTCGAAGAAGCCTCCACAGTGTTTTCCTATCCACGCTATCGAATGCTTTCTCGTAGTCAATGAAGTTGATGTAGAGTGGTGAGTTCCATCCAATTGATTGTTCCACAATGATCCGTAATGTAGCACTTTGGTCAGTACACGGTCGATCCTTAAGAAATCCGGCCTGTTGATCTCGAAGTTGGGCGTATACGAAGTCCTTCATTCTGTTTAACAATATTCTGTCGAAGACTTTGCCTGGTATTGAAAGAAGAGTGATGCCTCTGTAGTTCTCACATTTGCTCAGATCGCCTTTCTTTGGTATTTTGATCAGGTATTCATCTTTCCAGTCTGATGGTACTTGTTCCTCATCCCGAATCTTCTTGAAGAGGATGTAAAATATTTTCGCAGTTGCTTCTACATCTGCTTTCATTGCCTCTTCTGGAATGTTGTCTGGTCCTGCTGCTTTGCCGCTCTTGATTTTTCTGATGGCCATACTAATCTCCTCAATCGTAGGAGCGCCAATATTA